ATTCAATTGTTTTTATTAAAATGAAGTACGAAGAAAAAACTCTACTTTGTAACTGTTACTATAATCGCACTATAGATAAAAAATGCACACAAGTTACATGACAGATACATTAAATTATAAATTGTGAAGTGGCAAATTAATAGCATAAACTGGTGTATTATTTTTGGAGTAGAAAGTATATTTTTTGGATCAGTATTGAATTTTTTGGAAAGTATTATTTTTGGAGTATATATATATAAGTTAAGAAAAACTATTCATAAAGTTTAAGAACTTTAAAAAAGTTTCCTTTATTTTTTCCTAAATAATTGTTTTTAAAAAACACTGCTGCATCTTTAAACAACTCACGCTTGTTTTGATTGTAATTTTTTGGTTGTCGCGAAGGGCAGAAAATAAATTAATTTAAAACCACTGATTTTATTTTTTAGCAATATTAAACATGCAGTGTTCAGTTTCTGTTTCGTCGGAAGGTTATTTTTGCCATATTTAACCGTTTTCAGACTAATTTTTTTAGTTTGTAAACTGTATAAAATTGCAAACATTTATACTTTTTGTATGGTATTTGCCCACAGCTATTTTTTAGATTGTAAACTGTATAAAATTGCAAACATTTATACTTTTTGTATGGTATTTGCCCTTAGCTATTTTTTAGCTTGTGAACTGTATAAAATTGCAAACATTTATACTTTTTGTATGGTATTTGCCCTTAGCCATTAATTATGTTTTTTTTTCCAGTTAAATTCGAAGTAAAAAATAGTTGCTTGAGGTAAATAGAAATATGCAGAAAAATTGCTTGAAACGCGTAAAACAGAAATTCACCCGAAGGTTTAAAGTTGATTTAGAACTTAAGCATTTTTTGTACTGACAAAATACAGCAAAAGTCAAAACTTTTCAAGATCATGATGACAGATCGGAAGTTTAGCGCGCGGCTACTGAATTTTCTGTGCTTGGTTCTAAACCCTAGCCAGCGGCTTTTAATTAATTTTTTTTACAGAAAAAGTTAAGAACAGATTTAAACATTTTCATGTCGACATATTAGATTTAAAGCAATTTAAATAAACCATTTCATCCTTTTTTTTCAATTTTTTTTATGCCTATCATAAAAAAGAGCCTCGGTTTTTAATCATTCAAATGGTTGACAATTCAAATAGTTGAAAGAAATTAAATGCCTATTAAAATAAAACGAAATAAAAATTTAAAACGTTTAGTATTGTCACTTGTGGATTAAATACAATGACATGAAAATAAAGTAGTATTGTTTCTATTAATAAATGAAATTATTACCATGCACAGATTAAAAAAAGATATAGTGATAAATTAAGTAGAGGTTGCTGATATCGGCTTAACTATCCATGAGCTAGCTACGGTGCTACTTGATTTCTATGGATTATAAATATTTAAAGATTATAGTTAGTGATTGAATTAGCGATTAACGATATGATATACATTTAATGATATAATTATTAAATATTTTTTAAAAATTGTTAAATAAATTTAAATAGGTGGTAGATACAAGGAATTAAATGAAATATTTTGATGCCTTAGAAATGCTGTTCTTTATATACATTTTAAATAGTTGTGCAGTGAGAAAAATAAATAAATGGCCACCCTAAAATAACTTCTGAATAAATGATTGAATTTTCACTTACAAGACTAGTCCTTAATGGTTCAATTGGTTCACCTCAAATATTCTAATTAATTCGTGCATATGATGTTTCAATTAAAAAGCAATGCAGAAACGTATATTTTACTGAAACTTTTTTCGACGGATTCGGATTTTTTAATTTCCAAAACGTAGGGGTAGCAGCAATATGGGTCATGGTCTCAATATTTTTGTCAGGAGAGCGATTCAAAGTTTTAACCCCTTAATGTAATTCTTTTGCGTACTGCACCATAAGCCGAGAACTTTCAAAGCAAATTTAAATTTTTTACAACACAGTTATAGAATCCGTCTATTCAAGGATAATTCCATATAGAAAACAACTTTTAGCTTTTTTTAAAAAATTTTATCTAATAATAATCGAAAAAAGTTTAAATTGTCGGGTATACAATTTTTTTATATCATTTTGAAGAATGTAATTTTACATGGCAAAACACAAAAACTCAGCTAAATTTGTCGAATAGTTCTTAAGAAATGGAATTTTATAAACACGTCTATTTTAACGTTTGATTTCTCAGGAACTATTCGACCGATTGTTTTGCTCACTTTACATCTAATTAAAGAGCATTCCAAGAACTTATTTGTACGAGAGAAGAAGGGGGTAAAATTTAAAAATTTTTTTTTAATCATTCTGAATGTGGAAGAATAACATTGATGATATGTTTTGTTTAAAAAGCTTTTATTTATCAAATTTATTTAAGGTATCTCTAAATGGTAAATTTAGAAAAGAAAAAAACAAAATTATTATAAGGCTTAAGGATTTCAATCATGATTATATTAAAAGGTAGTTACGAGTAGCAACAGAATGTATTGTCTATTAAAATATACTGCTATTTCCATATAGTAATTAAATTTAAACTTTAACAATTTTAATCAATAATTTTAATTAATTCTTCCTCGCAAGTGTTAGAAGTCAATTAGAATAACAAGTGAATGAAATTTTAAATTAAGCCTAAAAGGTCAAAAGTGAAAATTTAAAATTAAATAGTTTTTCAATGAACTAGGCTTTCTAAGCTCTCTTTCATTAAGAAAACATTATTAGAAACGTGTTAATATTTCAATTCACACCCACGCACTAATTTGACAAAAGGAAATTTACATTCATTTTATTACTGTTGCACACCAAGCTGAAAAAAATAACCTTTGTTCTTATTTCCGCGCTCCAAAATGCATATATTTTTAAAACTTCAAACGCTATGTTGATTTTTCAAATCAATTTTTAAGTAGGTGTAAACAATAGTTTATTTATGACTTTGAGAACGTTAACTAAAGCAGAGAGTGTTTGGAGTAGTGAATTTAAATTCAGGTGTGATTAAAAATTGCTGAGAGCTATAATGTGAGGTTTCTCTCAAGAGAATATTTGTTTACTTGCTCACCGCTCATAAATATTATATTTTGATTATAATCTTCCTTTTATAATTGTAGGCGTAAAGAAGTTTTAACTGAATGCATTTTTACGAAAAATATTTTGCTACATTTTAAAATGGAAATGATGGAATATTAAAAATGAAGAGATTGCTTATTCACACTATTTTTATCTCTTAAAATTTCTAATATTATGTAGATTTTTAACGGTACAGTTTACAGTAATAATTACCATTAAAATAATTGACTTACTTTAATTAAAGAAATATTACTGCACGAGATTACGTTATAATATTTCACGGTAAAAATGGATTTTACTGTAAAAAATGGATTCTACGTATGATGCACCCTAAAGTGCCGACATCCCAATGATTCACCCAATGATGATCGTATGATGTACAGTGCGCAATAAAAAAGAAAAAAGAACGGACCACCCTGAATAACTTTTGTTCTAATGTTAGGATCTTCACGTTCGAGGACTCATTCTTAATGGTTCGATGGGTTAACCTCAAAAATGCAATTAATAAGTTCCGACGATATTTCAAGTTATGAAACCTGACACAAAAACATACTTCCTCCGAATAAGCATACTTTTGTTTCGATGGATTCGGATGTCTTACCCCTAAAATATAGGGGGCAGCCGCAATCTGGGTATGTCAATCTGGGAAATATGGTCCCAATAGTAATCTCCGGAGAGCGCTCTAAAGTTTGGATCTCTTAATGTTAATTTTACTTTTTATGTATTTCGCTTTTAGCATATCTCTAGAATTTTTTAAGCGAACTGAAAATTTTTTGCACAGTTATAAAATTTGATTATCCAAAGAAAACTCAATGCGAAAAATAAATTTTAGTAAATATTTATTATTTTTCCATTATTTTATTAAATAATAGTCGAAAAAATTTTGATTTGTAAGTTACACAATTTTTTTTCATAATTTTATGGTGTGCAATTTTACATGGCAAAATACAAAATTAGAGCAAAATCGGTTGAATAGTTCCTGAGATATCAAATTTAGAATATTTGACTGTTCTGAAATTCAATTTCTCTGGAACTTTTCCTCCAATCTTGCTCAAATTTTGTATTTTGCCATGTAAAATTATAATCTTTAAAATAATGCAAAAATTGTATAGCTTACAATAAATTTTTTTTTGACCTTTATCAAATAAAATAATAAAAAATAATAAATATTTACTAAAAGTTTTGTTTTTTTAGATGGAATTATCTTTGGATAAACGAATTTTATAATATTAAGCAAAAAGTTATTGATTTTCTTAAAATGTTCTAGAGACATACGCAAAAAGTAAAATTAAGAGGTCCAAACTTTGGAACGCTCTCCTGACGAAACTATTGGGACCATATTTACCAGATTGCAGGTACTCCCTATATTTCAGGGGTCAGAAATCCGAATCCATCGAAAAAAAAGTATGTTTATTCAGAGAAAGTACGTTTTTGTGTCATGTTTTGTAACTTAAAATATTGTTTGAACTTATAGTCAGCATTTTTGAGGTTACCCCATCGAGCCATTAAGATTAGTCCTAGAACTTACAAATCCAGTCATTAGATCAAAAGTTATTCAGGGTGATCCGTTTTGATTTACGCACTGCACGCTAATGTACAACCTTAATGTTATTTCAAATTTTTTACAGTGTATCCTTTGTGTTGCGTAGATTAAAGCATTGTGAATAAAATACAAATAAAGTACAGAAATAGACATACTACAATTTCAGTTCTCTGAAAATGGACCTTCCTATGTGTCTAAACATCAAATGACAGTAGAAAAGTATAGAGATAAACACGTGTAAGTAATTTAACCAATGGGAATGGAGGCACAAGTTTAAACAAGATAATTAAAAGAAGGGTAAATGACATGTTGGCGATTGTTTCACATTGATGGGCCTGAATCATGTTCTCAATATTATGAATTCGATAGAGCTTTGCATTCAACTCAATTTGAAAAAGAAAATAATAAATGGTTACCTTTCCTAGACGTTCTTATTAACCGTAATTGGAATAATTTTCTCACTACTCTTTATCGGAAACCCTTTGCGATTTCATTCTCTCGTCATTTTTTTCCATCTCACCCGCCTAATCAAAAGATTGCTGATTTATGGGCACTTGCTTAACAGTGCTTTTAAAATTAAGTTTTAGTTTACAAACTCTCCAAAAATGAGTTTATACAAAAATGGACAAATTCAAATAAACACGACATTTATCAAGTAGCAGCTAATGGCTGTGTAAGTGTTATTTATCTCTTATTTTTTTTATATTCGTTTTTTTCAGACTTTATGATAAGCTTCTTAATTATGCAGGGTTATTCATAATTCCCCCCGGGGTTTCGAAGCGTTATAGTAAAAAAAAAGAAGACGAATATGAAAAAAAGAAACATATGAAAATATTCCGGAACTATTCAAGTTTTACTTACATACATTACAGGTGTTCTATGTGTGAACCATTGGTCACACGGCATACATCAATGCGATAGTCCAGTTCCTGCCCGGAGGGAATTATGAATAACCCTGTATAATAAGTCACTTACTTATTAGTAAGCTGTATTTAGGAATTACTGGTACTGTTTATTGTTTGTTAGCGAATATATAACATAAAATTAGCAAATTATTCATACTTTTGTAAAACTTTTGGTCATGAAATAAAGCAAATTTAAACAAGCATCATTTTTGTGCAAATATTTATGAATTCGGATCAAATATAAAACTATCCTCAAAAATATATTTTAGATGTCGTTAAGGAGCTAAATCTTTTATTATTTAAAAAACTAGTAAAATAAACAGCTTGGTTTTATTTCTAAATGAAAGAGAAAACCAATAACAACGTTGGTTGGCCCTTGAAGCTTATTTATTATTAATAATAGTATACTATTATCGGATTTAAATGTTGCAAATATTTAAATGTAACACAGACAAATTCCTGTGCAGTGAATGATAATAATAAAAAATAGAAATTTTAAGTCTTTGCTAGTTATTTAAATTGTATTGGGTAATAATTGTGAATTAGTTTTAATGAAACTGCTGCTAATGCTTCGTAAAGCACGATTCTTTCTTACACACAGAAAAATTGCTTTAGCGTATCTTACGAAGTCGTAAATGATTGCTTATGACATTAAAATTAATTATTATATTTCATAATTTAATTTCAAGGCGTCACATTAGCCAAAAGTTGACAAAAGTACTGAATATTAATTTATTGCTTATATTAAGTTTTTAAATAATTCCAAACACAATGAAAAAATGTATTTCTTTATTTGCATTACTTATAAAGTTTTGAGCGTGTTTTAGAATGAAAAAAGTTGAGGTTTTTCCAGAAATTTTTTTCTTTTTCACATTTATGTTTTTCTGATGTTAACATGCTATTTGAATCCCTAGGGATTATTTTTTCCTGCTGAAGATGGAACTTTAGGGTATTTTTTTAAATTCATAAACAACCTAAAATGAAATTGTGGATTGAATAAGCGTTTTGAAAAGTTTTAAAATTTTCACAGCATGTGTTATTTATATCTATGCATTCAAATTTTTTTTTACTTTTTTTCTTTTCAATTTTACATTAAGGGGACTTAAGAAAATTTTATAATTGATATATAAGCAAACGAATGCGTGGATAAACTGCATGAACTATAATGCTTTAAAATAAATTTTTACGAAAAATATTGCAGAAATTTATAGTTTGAAAAATTGGTAAATTGTACAGTTTTTAAATTATTAAAAAAATTGAGTTACATTACTAATTTAATTGATTTTTATTAAAAGTGTGCACGTCATTGCAACTGAAAAGATGTTAATTCTAATTTTATTAAAAAAATTGTTCTGAGGATACTTTGTTCTGAGAATTTTTAGACAAAAAATTATGTTTTAATGCGAATTAACATTTCGTACCAGTTAAGGACTGAAAAATAAAATTAAAAAAGACTATATTTATTTTTGAAAATAATTAATATTATTTGAAAGTCTTACAATCTCAAGAGTCGAAATAATTTGCTAAATTATTTAGCCTCATTTTTATGCTATAAGCTCCGTTTATTTGTAAATAACTGTTGTGCTCATGTCTATATTATTTCCACTTGGAATTGAAATGTTTTACTTATGGTACTGAGAGAATTCCTTAGAGCTTATTTTAAAATAGCAATTTTATGAATGTGCCAATAATTCTTTGTCTCTGATCTAACATATTATGTTCTTAGTCTCGTGGTAGTTTCCATATTCAAATGTATCATTTCTTATTTCTAATATATGATTAAATTTCATATTTCATTACATATTAGAAAATAAGAAATGATACATCTGAATGAGGCTTATTATTTTGATATTAAAAATAGTTTTGATAAATCATGATTTAAAAGTGAAAGGAAAACTCTTCTTATAAGTTGTCAGCATTAAACATAGTTGTGATAAACGTTGCTTAATTATTGCTGAAATTTTTATTTATTTTTTATTCTTAGATCGTTTGTCCTAATTGTGATAGCCGGTGCTATTCACAACATTTATACTATAAAACATCCATATTTGTTTATATCAAATTCTAAGCTATTGAAAGGAGAATCTTTTTTCGATATCATCGATATTAAAGTAGAAAAGTTTTTTAAACGAAAATCACTAAAATGGATTATTTAAAAGTCTGTAAAGTAAAATAAATCAGAATCATATATCTTCCCAGAAATTACTCTTAAAAAGTATATTTCAAAAAACATTGTGTCCTTTAACTATAACAGCCTTAATGCCAAAGAAATGGTAAGTTTTCAAATGAGCCTTATCCGATATGGACATGTGCCATTGTCGAAACAGGAACCATGGGAAAAATAACACATGGTGTTGCCATTGTGTGCGTTTTATTAAAGCAGAATACCAAACGATTTTTCATTCAGAAAGGAAATTATCTTCCGTTTCTTTCTACACTTCGACAACAAATAGAACATGAAGTTTACCAGTCATAAAATTCTTTTTCATAAAATTTTGTTTGTTTATTTTTGTTTTATCCAATCTTCTAAATCTGCCTGAGGCTGATGGATCGAATCAAATATGCGTTCTACATTTCATTTATCTTTTAAGAATGAAAAGTTTCTTATTCCGAAGTTACCATGGGTTAAGGGATAAAATAATGGATTCTTTGGTCTAGTTGCCATTTTTCATCATAATGATGAAAGGTAAAATTGCCGATGCAATAAAGAAATAATTTGTTGTACATGCATTCACGAATTCCGAATTTTATATCTCTTGTGGGATTTCTGACACTATTAAATCTAATGCCGCGAAGAGAATTCTTATTTGAGTAAAATAGCTTTCGGGTACTTTCAAGTTCTGTTTTCAAATGTTGGCTTTAAGCTTTATGTATTTTTTGATGACGCAGCCAGGATGTTTTACTATATTCTGCTTTAGATCATATCAGTAAATTACAAAGACAAGATGTATACTTAGCAGAATTAGATTGCTTTAAAACAAATATAAAAATACGGTCGAAATTTGAAATTAAATTTCAATTTGTCTTTGGTCTCTGATTGCAGATTTTAAGAATGCATCGAAGATGTTTTATTTTATTCTACTGCAGATTATATCATCGAATTATACTAAAAGATAGACATTTGGAAAAAATTAGATAGCTATAAAACAGTTGTAAAAGTACTGTCAAACTTTGAAATTAAATTTCAGCTTGTCTTTGGTTTGTGGTTAGATTTCAGTAATGTATCTAAGATGTTTTATTTTAATTCTATTGTAGATATCATCAAATTATAATTAGAAGATAGATATTTGGAAAAATTAGATAGAAATAAAACGGCTGTAAAAGTACTGTTAAATTTTGAAATTAAATTTTATCTTGTTTTCAGTTTGCAGGCAGATTTTAAGGATGTGACTGGGATGTTTTATTTTATTCCATTGCAGCATCAAATTATTATACAGCATAGACAGTAGAAAAACTAGATAGCCATAAAAGAGCTTAAAAGCACTGTCTAGTTTTGAAATCTCATATAATCTTTGCTGCTCGGTTAAAAGAGGCACATTCTTTTGTGAATGTATGAACAGCACGTGATTCTCATAATTAAGTACTTCCGAAATAAATATATAATCATTATTTTTGACAAACAAAGCCAACTGAGCCACGATGGTTAAAATCTCAGGGGATAGAGTGTTCGCCTTTCAATGAGGCGAACCGGGTTCGAATCATGGTCGATACGAATTCCGAATCCGGCTTGCACCGACCACAGTGCTGACGTGAAATATCCTCAGTGGTAGACGGATCATGGGTTAGAGTCCCCTTGCCGTCAGTCTAACCGTGGGGGATTCTCATGGTCTTCCTCTCCATGTAACGCAATGCGGGTTAGCTCCATCAAAAAGTCCACCACGAAGGCAAATTTCACCTAGTACTCTATCCAGGCGTTTCCTTGTCTTCTGGAATGGGTTCAAAATTACAAGGCTACGGAGTTGACCATTAGTAGTCCTAAACCCATAAAATTGGGTTGGCAGTTCAACAACGGTTATAAAAAAAGAAAAATAAAAAAAAAAAAAAAAAAAANAAAAAAAAAAAAAAAAAAAAAAAAAAAAAAAAAAAAAATAAAAACTGACAACTATATACATAACTATATATATAACTCATTTTAGCCATGATTTAAGTATTAATTTGCTTTCACAGTACTAATTCGTGATAATCGTGATTTATTTAAATTCAATTTTTGAAGTTAATTACTAATATCACGAATGTTTTTGAAATCACTTTTGGCGAACTAATATGACGGTTCTACCATATTTTTATTAAATCTTACTACAAATCATCTCATACTGGACACATTACTAACATATTTTTGTCATTTACTAACCTTTCCGATAACATTCAATTATTAGAAAAGTCTAAACGAGAAATATTTTAGAAGTTTAACTCACTCAAAGAAATCTTAACCATACGTACAATAGAATTCCACTTGTGATAGTTAAGGTTTATCATAACAGTTTTCTCAATAAATTAGCACTTAATACATGACTTTGAATTATTTAATTATTATCATTATTTTTATAATATAGTCATATATTATACATGACTATTATTATTATTTATTTAGTTATATATTACATATAATACACCATTAAAAATAAAATGAGAAAAGTATTACAAAAAGTATTGTTATTTGGAGTTGTATAGGAGGTGCAAATAATTTAGATTATTTTTTCTTCGGAGAAAAACTACTTTTGATTGGAAATTTTAAATTCAAAATCCATCATTATTAACGGAACGTTTGAGTTTTGCGGCCATCGTAGCAAACGATTACTAAAAGAAATAAATGAGAGAAATAGACATTAAAAATTAATTTACATCAATTTTATATCGACAGAATAATTCTTCCGAGCTTATTATGCACTTTTAAAACTGTGGTAAAAAGAGATTGTAGGGTAAACCAACCGGTGAAGGAACACTACCCAGTGAAGGAACATTTCATATATATTGATTAAAAATAAGAATTTGAAAGCTTTTATTTAGATTATTGGTAACAATAACTTACTGCCAAGCAATAGGAAGTCATCTAGCAATGTTTTGGATTACCTAGTCACGTAGACTTCCCTGGAAAATTTTTTGAATTTGTTATTATCTCTGCAACACCTTGTTTCTTTGAAAAAATTATAAGGTAAGTGTTTGTATTCATATGTTTGAAGTGGAATTAATTGCATGTAATAGTTTTATTTAGAATTCAAAATATAGTTATTGAAGTTACGTTTTATTTTTTTTAAATATCATAGCATAATAAAGTGCTGAGATAAGGGAATGTTGGAATTCACTGGATAACCAAACGATGAAAAACCAGTGAAGGAACAAATGTTCCTTTACTGGTTTTTTTTCTAAGTTAATAAAAATAAAAGATGAACTTCAATTTTCTTGTACCTTTAGTGATGTTCCGCACCAAAAGTATGTTGAAAATACGAAAAACAACTTCTAACCTGTGAGGGAACAGGCATCTTCCTTTACTGGGCATAGATTTCCCAGTGAATGTGTTAATATGTTGACACTTTAATTTTCAATTCATGATAACAAAAAAAAAGTTTAAATTTTCCAAGTATTTGTATGTTATAATTTCAAGAATAGACTTGTTTTTAAATATTTATGGCTCATAAATTCATAAAGAGACTTAAAAAATTACCAAAATTAAGTGTTCCTTTACTGGATGTTCATTCACTGGTAAGAGCTGTTCCTTCACTTGGTCTTCTTACTACTTGTTA